AGCTAAAATAATTTACTACAACCTTAGCACAACAATATGTTGTACATCAGCTATCCTGTTACATAGCTTCAACAAAAGAGATAAAAACATTCCTAGTGATACCCAGAGTAGCTTCTCGAGCTCTTGATTTGGCCTGCATATATTGAGGAAAATATCTAATAAAGATAAGGAATATCTCTAAGTGTTTCCTATCAGGTTTACAATAAAATTTGTCTCTATGTCTCACATAATAATTAACATTTTCACGCTATAACATTCTCACTGATGGAAAGCCTTATTAAATCATGTAAACTTCAATCAATTGATATTGTTGTCGACAAATATGAAGAGTTTATAACAGCAACGGTAACAAGCTTCCATATAACTACTTTTGTCTATGCCTAGTGTAAAAAGTATTTTTTGTAGCAATATGTACACTATGTGGCTCAGTAACTTTCTACTAAGTCTATTAGCTATGACCATGATATCTAATTACAATCTTCCTGAGCTCTCTTTTGATATACTATGATTTTTATGATCTAATTGCGACCCACTTTTAGGAGATTTAGGATATAAGAATAAAGTTATTAAATAACTTTACTTTTGTTTAATTTGACAACTGTATTGATTATTTTTCGAAACTAATCTTAAATACATCTATTACTTTCCTAGGCTTTATTTGTTCCTTTTTGCCTGTCTTGAATGCTTCTAGACTTTAACTTGTTCATTTCTCAATTCTTGAATACTTCCTTAAAATCTCTAAAAATATTACACTTCTCATTAAGAAAGATTTTTAAATTGTTTTGGTCCTTGAAAATCATTCATTTTTTCAGTGTACCTTTAGGACTCCTAATTACTTGGGTTTAATAGCTTATTGAATTTTGATATATTCTTGAGCTTCTGGATCCAAAATTCAAGATGTTACATATATATATATATATATATATATATAAGAAAGACTGTAGAAAGGAGAATATTTCCTCATTTTGGAGGGGTCTCAATTGGATTGGGAGGAGAGTATTCTCTCTGTAAGGCAGTGCACGCTTTCTTATCATCTCTATTTTGTTTTTCATCTTTTCCCCAACCTCTTCTTTGCAATCTATTGGGTTATTTCTAGTTTTTCTTTATTTCTTATCAATATGTTTTTGCTTCCTGATTGTGAAGATCAACACCGGAGATTTTGTCAAAATCATTATCTATTTTTGAAAGTAGTAGTGGACAAGAAACTATTCATGCTTCTAAGATCCAATCGTTGATTAATTTTTATTGGAAGCTTGGTGATGTGGTTCAAGTCATCCAACAACATCAGAATCACTTCGTTTTGTATTTTCGATGTGAGGATGATTTAGTTTTTATTTTGGATCAAGGCACTTGGTTATTGAAAGGTTTAACTGATCTGGTTTGTTCATCCATGCATCTCCCTCTCCTCTGATTAATAATATTAATGCGCGCGCGCGCGCACGAAAAACTAGAGAGAAATTAAAGAGAGAGAGTTTGTGTGTGCAAGTTTTAACGAGAATATAATAAATGGATTTGTATATTATCATGAGAAGCCTCCATAGCCCAAACAAAATTAATTAATAAAAGCCACAAGTTCATACTATGATCAGCTGAGACAAGTCAATTATTTCAACATGCATCTTTTTTCATGCAAACACAGCACATATGTACATGTGTTCCATGATTATTAAAAGTGTAGTCAATTAATTAAAAGTGTTCCATGAATATTTTGGATCGGGTTATACACTCAAAGAAGAAAGAACATGTTTTAAGTGAACACATGTGACTACTTGACATACACTTGTAAGCTTGCATTTGTATACATGTGCTACAAATGGAAACGTGGTTTAATTTTGGTTGATTCAGAATTCAAGTGTTTTTTAAGGCACAAGAAGTATACTTTGTTGAGAGTAGAGACTACACTCTCATCCATGATATTAACGTTATTTAGTGGCAAAAGAAAGCCTTAAACCCTAAATCTCAAACCCTCTAATCAAACCATCAACATCTACTCTAACATGATCCTAAACTTTAAATCCTCTAATCTTATTTATAAGTCATTTTTAACATGTTCAACAAAGTTAAGTAAAATTTTAAAACTCATTAACTCTCAAAAAATATATTTACTTTGATAAATTCACATACTTCAATAATGTATTTTCTCTCACTAACACTTATAATGGGATAAAATAAGAAATTTGTGATAAAAAGTCAATGATATGCCTTATAAATAAAATTAAAAAAAATTTCTATCCATCTTATAAATAGGACTAGTAATGGAGTAATTTGAATGAATTACAAATAAAATTAATTTGACTATGTGAGACGGATATGTACGTGTATATGTACACTACAAACAAATCAAAACCACCTGTTATTGTAAAATTCATATATAGATTAATTAAGAAATTAGCCAAACATAATCATAATTCCAACATACTTGCATACATTTACCCAACACAACTCAAATGAGCAACAGAAGAATGTCAAATGCCTCCAATTAAGCTTCTAGAATGCTTAAAATTAAATATGTTGAAGCCCTCACATGAAGAGGCTAAAAATCAATAAAAGTGTCATGGAATCAAACGAAGCGCTTCGTTTTTCTATTCAATTAATTTCTTAATTTTGGATAAAAATATAATAAGATTGAATTGTGTTAATATTATTTTATTGATAAAAGAACAAATTGACATTTAAACTATAGGTCCAGGAGAATCTAAAATGTTTTGGACAATATAATATTTTCTTTTAATTTTTGAAAACAGTACAATTTAGTATCTATTATTAATAAAAGTTAACTTTAATCATTAGTTGATCAAAAAATGAAAAAAGACCTCAAAAAATACAAAAAATGGCCAATAAAAGTTAACTAAAGATTAAAATTAACTTTTATTAATGGTAGAAGTTAGATTATATTACACCATTTTTAAAAGTTGAAGGGAAACGTTATATCAAAAATAAGTTAAGGGTCTCAGACACTTCTAAACCTATAATTTAAGAGCCAATTTGTCATTTAATCCTATTTTATATTATTAAATCCTATTTTATTTAGAAGATGCGTCATATTTCCTCGTTAATACTCTTTATATATATATATATATATATATATTCCAAATCCACCGAAAAATACATGTACAAGCAATCGTTGATGCACAAATTACACCTTTGTGTAAATCCATGTGCCGATAATTCTTAATTACATTGGCAAAATGGTTATTTAATTTAATTAACTTTGTTCTCATCCGATACAGTTTCTTTACGAGCGTCCAAAATCTGAACTCGTTGACCCATGAATCAGCAGCAAAATAAATAATTATTGAAAAAATGATACGGATTTTGTCAAACATCCATTACAATTGCTTACTGTGTAAACTATATGCACATGGGGTGGGTGTGGGAGTGTGTTTGTGTGTGTGTGATCCTAATTAACTTGTGTGTGATTAAAGTAAAACGCGTACAACGTATATGTACCAGGTGAAATTGGATTACTCTTCATTTTCAAGATTGTGATATCAGTTTTAAGTATGATAATTGCTAAATAAGTAAATATATTCAACTATTTCTGCTGAGAAAATTAAAATACTGTTTCTTGCGATGAAATGTTTTATGGTGGCGCCGTCACTAAAATGAACACTTGGCTAAATATTTGTTATTGCTTTTACCGTTAACAATTGCCGCACTATATAATATTATTTGTTGTCTTTCTTGTAGTTTCTATTTACTAATTCTTACACATTCGCCTCGTATTAAACTTGGCCACCACGTATGCCAGCTGACAAATAATTCAAGCAATATCTGTTGAATTTTCTTGTTGAGTTAATTTTTTTTTAATTGGAGAATGACAACTAATTTTCAAAACTTTAAATTAATAATAGTGAGGTTCCTGAAATTTTTTTCCGAAAGCTAGGCTATAAATATCAATTAATCACACAATTTCAAATAGAAAAGTCTAAGCTTTAAATCAATAACTAATGACAATTAATTATTATAACTCAAAATTTGCAACTAATATTCTCCTTCCGTTTCTATATATAAGAAAAAAATATATCATAAAGTATAAAAAAATTGATTAACTATGATAATTACATCTAAAAATAAAAAAACTGGATTAAAGTACCATGTGTTAATCAACATAAAAGGGGTAATTTAAAAAATTTGTAATAAATGCTTATTGATATTTTTTGATTATTTTTATAAAAAAACAAATCAAAAGTGACAACTTCTCTAACAAAAAAAAAATGAAGGAAGCAGTGGTGGAGTCAGGATCCAAAGTCAAGAGTGCAAGATAATTTAATAAGAAAATTAATATATTTTTTGAAATAATAATTTAATAGTTAAGAATAACAATTATGTTAGGACTAAAATTGTAATAATATTAATAGATTGATTATCATTTTTCATTTAAAAAATTATATATTTAATAATTTTTTGAGTCCAAATATTTGTTATTTAATTCGAGGGTTGCAAAATATCAAGAGTTGAGGGTGTAAAGTTAAAAAAATTATATGCCCTACTTATAATTTTTCCAAAATGAATATAAATATAATGTGGCTCTGCCACTAAACTGAGATTTTTATATTTGTAACTATTTGGATTATTATTTGTAACTTATCTCTTAAATTTTTTTTTTGAAAACCTAACTGTCATTAAATTGGAATTGAAGTTCCTAATGCCCAACAGTGGTTCTTCCATATCTTTATCGCTATTTCGATTGCTAATTTTGTTTTCTATAATTAATTATACGCGATCCAAATGATAGAAACACTGCGTGACAAATATATTTTAGATTATAAAGTACATGCCCGAAACATTATTAATTAATCTTCTAAATTAGTATGTATCGTGTACTTGCATAAACTCTATGGTCATCGTTCGAGTATTTTATTTAGCCGACTAATTAATATCCTTCTACACGCTCCTCCATTTTCAACGAAAACCCTAATCTAAGCTTTGAATGTTTTCTGAAACACTATAAATATACACATACAGATCATTGACATAACAAAACACAACAAACACAAGATCCACTCACTGCAAATCAAAATGGCATCAATCATTGTTAAGCTTTTCTTTTCTCTCACTTTATGTTCTTCAATTTTCTCAATATCGTCGTCGTCGTCGTCATCTTCTTCTTCATCTATAGACTTTTGGTGCAACCAAACTCCTCATCCCGAGCCATGCAAATACCACATGAGCCAAAGTCATCACCACCAGTTCGAACCGCAACACCGGTCCGAGTTCACGAAAATTCTGGTTCAATTAGCACTGAACCAAGCCAAAGCCGTGCATGAGAAAGCACAAGCACATGGCCAAAAATGTGCGACCGAGATGCAGAAATGTGCATTCACTGATTGTTTAAAGCTCTACGACAACACTATCTTCCATCTAAACCGAACCCTTCATGGCCTACACACAGCTTCGTGCTCTCCATCAGATGCTCAAACATGGCTCAGCACTGCCCTCACAAACACAGAAACCTGCTGGAGCGCCATGTCGGCGGCGCAACTGGCAGAGTTCACAGCTCAAAATAACGTGAGTGACAATGTTAGGAAGATGATAAGCAATGTGCTGGCTGTTAATGGGAGATTTCTGAAGCAAGAGAATTATACAGAAGAAGAGATAAACGATGCACATGGTTTTCCGAGTTGGTTCTCGCGGCATGACAGGAGGTTGTTGAGCTTGAAGCCATCTTCGGTGAAGGCAAATCTTGTGGTGGCTAAAGATGGTTCGGGTCATTTTAAGACGGTGCAAGCCGCCATTGATGCAGCGTCAAGAAGAAGGGTGAAGACGAAGTTTGTGATACGAGTGAAGAGAGGGATTTACGAAGAGAATATTGAAGTTGATAAGGATAATGAAAATCTCATGATTGTTGGAGATGGAATGAGAGCAACCATTATAACTGGTAGCAGAAGCGTTAAAGATGGAATTACCCCGGCTGCCTCGGCAACAGCAGGTCAGTTATTTACTTTTTTTTTAATATTTTTCTGTGAAATTTAAACAATTAAACATTCTTGTTGAGTTTTTTTGGAAGATTCAATTCTAAGAAATGGTTGTAAAAAATAGGTAGCGCTGTTTGTGATTTGGTAATAGTATGACTAGCTTGTTATAAATTTTAGGGGAATGATAGTAAATTCTTGAAACATCAAATTGATGATAATTAAGTTTTAATAAAAAATTTTAAAATGAGTTGCAAATATTAATTTTGACAGTTACAAGCAGGAACTCTATCAAGAGTTATATTTAAAATTTAAATGTCTTATTTACAATTTGAAACTTCTAAATTTATAATTATTTGAATAGATATTTGCAACTTACTCCTTCCAATCTTTAATATAAGGCAAAGTTTGAAAACTTTTTATAGTCTTTAATATAAGACAAAGTTAGAGTAATTAATGTTTTTCTTTCAATTTTATCCCTTATTTATTTATTATCTATCATATAAATTCCTAGCAAATAATTTATTTTTGTTATTAATTGAAAAGAAGTGTAAAATTTAAAAATTACATATTTTTAAATAATTTTAAGGACATGACTAACATTTTTTAATACGCATGAAGTTGATTAACTTTGTCTTATAATAAAGATCAAAGGGTTTTACTTTTATTGGAAAATTTTATCAATGACCTCACTATGATTAATTTGCTGTTTTAGGATTTAATTGTCATTCTCCAAATTTTTTTATTATATATTAATATATTGTCATATTATATTAGAAATATATACATACGAGCGCTCGTGTGTGTGTTGAGTAACTCATTTTTAAATAATAAAATTTCAGGCATAGATGGAGCTCGCTTCATTGCACGAGACGTCACTTTCAGAAACACAGCCGGTCCAGAAAACGGCCAAGCCGTGGCACTCCGATCAGCCTCAGACCTCTCGGTCTTCTACCGGTGCTCCATCGAAGGCTATCAAGACACTCTAATGGCTCATGCACAACGTCAATTCTACAGAGATTGTCGAATTTTCGGCACTGTGGATTTCATTTGGGGTAATGCCGCAGTTGTTCTACAAAACTGCAGAATTCTCGTAAGAAGGCCACTTCAAGGCCAAGCAAACATGATCACAGCTCAAGGACGAGGCGATCCGTTTCAGAACACCGGAATATCGATCATCGGTTGTCAGATTCGAGCCGCGCCGGATCTCAGGCCGGTTGTGCGATCATTTCAAACCTATTTGGGTAGGCCATGGCAGCAATATGCTAGAGTGGTGGTGATGAAGAGTTACATTGAAGGAGTGGTGAATCCATTAGGTTGGTCTCCATGGGGAGATAATGATTTGGGTCAAGACACGTGTTATTTTGGGGAATATATGAATTTTGGAGCTGGTTCATCAACACAAAGTAGGGTTCAATGGCCTGGGTTTCATGTTATAAGTAATCCAAATGAGGCAAACCAGTTCAGTGTTGCTAGTTTTCTTGCTGGGCGGACATGGCTGCCTGTCACTGGGGTGCCTTTTTCTATTGGTGTTTAATTTAGTAATGCATGTGATTGATTTTACAGGGATATACATGTACAGTTCATTATTTATTTATTTTTAATAATTTTTCCGGGGATTCATTTATGTTGTATATTAATTATTTGTATAATTATATATTATTCTTTGATAATTGATATTTAATAAAAGATATGCTAGATCGATCAATTTTATGTTTCTGTCCCCTATATTTGTTCTCTGTTTTTCTTATATATTCTTTCATATATTATATTTTTCATTTATAGTGACAACAACAAATGTATTATTAATATATATATATATATATATATATATATATATATGTAAGTGAATGTTACACGCACACATGAAAAGACACCTTTTACAAGAGTTTGACAATCCTTAATATAAAGAACTTAATCGATATATTAATTATATTTTTTTAATATTACCTCAATTCGAACTTATTAACTATAAGAGAAAATGCAAATTTAACAAATTTTCATTTCAATGTGACCAAAATTAAAAATTTATTTTATTTTTAGATAAAATTAATTACTTAACTACTTTTTTATAGTTCCAGTAAAGTGGTTAGAAATTTCTCATAATAATAATAATAAATCAAGTAGTATGTTCGATAATGTAGGAATCCACCTTTGATGGATTAAGATAACCCAAGCCCATATTGATTATTGGATCTTTCGTGAGAAAATGAATAAAATTAGGATTCTTAAATGTTACTAAGCAAGAGTTGGGTCTAGCAAAAGGAGTTAATCCCTCACAACATAACAAACTAATATATGAATCATTCTTGGGAGAAGTGCTCACATTTAGTGTTCGATAGTGGCTCGAATAAGATTGCCTTCAATAGAATACTTATGAATACCCAAAAAAAGGTTCTTAAATGTTAGTCTATTCTACCAAAAAAAAAATGTTATTCTAGCTTTTGTTTTAAATGCTAGGAGGCAACTGTTATATATCCCCTCATGCATGATTAGAAGTTATATGTGAATGCACTTGCGTGTGGATTTAGACCTCTTCCATGAGAGACGTTTTTCTCTCTTCCAAACTGGGGTAATTAGTTTATTTGTGTGTGTGTCTGAACTAAATCCGTGTGAATTAGTTCATATTGTATTGTTATTGAGGTAAGTTTAGATATTATACAATAAAATTAACTATATATTGAGGTAAGTTCATATTGAATTAGTCCATATTATAACTATAGACTAAGAACATGAAATGAAAATATGCTGGAGGAGGGAGAGAATTGATGAAGGACATGGTGATGGCAATGATTTGTTGAAGAGTAGAAAAAGAAATTGGTAAGAAATACTCCCTCAAGTCTAAAATATAAGTAATTTTTAGGAAAAATTTGCATACAAATAAAATATATATTATTTTCCTTTTTTACCTTAGTCTTGATTACCGATGCAGTTCATGATGATTAAGAAATAACTTTATATAAAGATCTAGGTTAATAAATATAAGGGTTAAAATGGGAAAAATTTTACATGTATTCAATTGTTTATATTTTGAACCAAGATTAATTGATGAAAAATACTTATATTTTGGATTGAAGGAAGTAAGTATGTAGAAGATGAAATATTGACTTCAAAATTACTACTAGAAAAATGCAAATTAATGTAGGATCTTCTATTCCTTTTTAAAATGTTAAAGTAGGGAGAAGAAATAGCGAGAAACTATTAATTCCTCTCTAAAAATAAAATAGTTAATAAGAAAAATAGCGAAAGAAAACACCATGTCCTTTTTAACATAAGATAACTAGTAAGGAGAATAGAGAGAGATATTTATTTATCTCTAAAATAAAATATTTAGCAAGGAAATAGTAAAAAACTGTTAATTTTTCTCTAAAATAAAATAATAGGAGAATTTTAATTAAGGATCAAGGAAGAGATTTGATTTTAGGTGGATCAAAAACATTTTAAATTTCAATTCAGTCTAGGAGAGAAAAGTCAAAGAATTTCAACAGTGAAAAGACCAAAATGCCCTTTATGGGTTATGCTAAATTTGTAACGCCATCCCTTCACATTACCAAATACACATAACACCAAATATAGAATACCGTTATGACAACCAGGATAATTAAATCTTGAAGAAGCAGTCATCATAACACAAGTGTTATAAAAAGATTTAGAAATCGGGATAAAAAAAACTCTTTTTCAAAAGCCATTTAAGCTTAAATTATACTTTAAAACCAATTAAACAAGACAATAAGAGCATAAAAACCCATAAGCAATATAAGAAATATAAAGGGGACAATTCTGGAACAATTGTCTAAAAAGTGTCATAGTGCACTGCGATATAGGCTCCATCAGCTGCAGCGGACTACACAGAGGGACATGTCTTGCTCTGTGCCTCATGCTGTGACTATCAATGCGTCGTGGCATGTGCATGCTATCATGACAGCACTCTGAGCTAACTCCTGAAGCATGCCATTTTGCTGTTTGATGTCCGATTCGAGCGATTCAAGTATTCACATGTAGCTCTTAGAGCCACCTAAACATTGGCACTGGTCCCACACCCAAACATTAAGCCAAATGGAATTTAGACACACAAACTTAAAATGACATGTTTCCTTTCCAAAACTAACATTAAGGTGTCCAAACTCACACACCAAGTGCCAATAATTGTGGAACAACTTGAACTAACTCAAATGAACTATAAACAACTTGTACATACATTCAAATCACAACAACAATATTCCAGACAAATTTTGGCCACAAAACCCCATATTGAACATAAAATTCCATCAGGGTTAACAACATATAATAATCTTTCAAATGGCCAAACAAACATATGAATCAACACCAAACTAAAATTTACACTAGTTTCTTGACCTCTCATAACCATTACACAATTACAACATCCTAGGTTGAGAATACCCACAGTTAATAACATAAATCATGCAAGTGCGTACAAAATGACATATGTTTTTCCTAAGTTTGCATATGCATATAATAATCATTACAAAACTAAAGGAAATAGAAAGGACTATACAAATACTAGCTAGTCTCCTTAATGCCTGATTGCACCTTCCTTTCCCTTACCCCTATCAAAGCCTTTTCTATAAAATATAACCATGGAGTGAATCAAGAACTCAATAACTAAATAGTCTAATCAAACTACTCATGTGTGAGAATAGATAGTGCGTATGTGAAGTGACATCAAAAACATATAACAAGTCATATATCCACACATATGATTATAATATGATATGCATGATTCACACACCACCTTATACCCTCCTTATGTCTTTTGACTGAATCTGTGGGCTGACAACTCAATAGAACCAAGTCCGTGTGACTGGACTAACCCAAGCTCACCATTAGTAGGAGGCAGCCCCGGCCAAGAGCACCTTCATCCACTATGGACCACAGATTCTCCCTATCCACAAATACTAGAGATGTCGATATCCAATTTACCTCATGTAGTACTGAAACTTTCAAACAATATAATATTAAGCACCGGGGCCTCTATAGTGTCAGTATACCATATGGATTTCCAAATAATACTCCAAACTATAGAATAGGGTGAACTACCACCCTTTCACAATGATCATACCAAATATGTTGAATAATTCAACACATAATCATAAAATATAATTTTTACTAACATGCTCATTTTTACTTAAACCATATAGTTTTGCAATTAATTACACTTAAAAATAGCATTTAGCCTTCCAAAAACCCAAAATTAAATATAAATTTCCATTCCACTTTACATAGTTTCCAAATCATAAACATTTTATATTAATACTATATTAGTACAAGACAAGAGCATTAGCTTTAAAAGCAAATCACACAACCATCCAAACAGGTAAATAGATAGTTTAAATAATTTGGTTACCTCAACTTTTTTGTCACTAAAATGATTACCGTGATTAAACAATGACTTCACACATTCCTACTAGCACCACAATGCTTAGACAATAGCTAATCTTCAAGATTGAACCCTTAATTATCAATCTATACACTAGTTACCTTACTTGTAACACAAATTACGGGTACCCAATACACTCAAAACCTTAATTTAGTCCCATCGATTCTTCCAACATACTCCAATAATTCTATTTAACATCCTAACACTTAAACAACACCTTTTTACTATCCACATTGCTTTTAATCTCCTAATTTCTACTTAGAGTTCATCTAACTCAAAGCCAAAAATTCTAAATCATTATAAAATCCATAAATCTAGGTTTAAGGACTTGATTTAACTCCTTAAGACCTCAACTACGGAAATGGGTTTAGCTATTGCCTAAGAACAATCAATTTTCATCCTAAAATACCCCAAACTTTCAGAAATTTGAATGTAGGGAGATGGAGAGGTGTAGAAAGCTTACCTAAGGATAAATTTGCCTTAAATGCTTCTAAATTGGTCCAAAGGTAGTGCTCTAATAGTCATCGATCATTTCCAATCGCCTCCTCACAATTTCTCTTATCCCATTTCTAATTTTCAGTCTAATTACAAGTCTGATAAATGCTAATTTTGCATGTACACTCTAGCGCATTGACGCATCTGTCGTGGCATATGGCATAAAAATGTCTAGACATATTTGGACCTCACTCTATGCCACGGCCCATTTAAACTCTAATCTAGCCCTCTTCTAAGGTTGTCCAATAATCCATTAACTACATTAGTCTCCCAAAAGCATCACTAATTAAAAATTCACTTAATTTTACCATTATACCCTCTTAAACACCAAAAATTCCCAAAACAAAAATCTAAGATGTTATAAAATCACTAGTTGTTCATTTTCTTACTGCACTTGTTAATTTACCAATATCACTTGTAAATTACATCCTCTTATCAGACAATCAATAACATTAGTTTTTAATTTGCTAAATTACAAAACCTATTAGTAATTTACAACTAGTGTTAGTAAATTAACAAGTAAATTTAACAATTTGATAACTGATGTTTTGCTGTTTATGATTGAAAAACTAATTTCAAGTTTTATATAATTATTAACATGTCAACTCATGTAATTTGTAACTCATATTTGTAGATTAACAAGTAAAGTAAGAAAATTAATAACAAGTGATTCTGCATAACAAATGAATAGTATTTTGGTCTTTTTACCATTAAAATTTTTTGACTTTTC